AATAAAAGGCTAAACTTTCAGATTACCACTAAATTATAAGAACCCAAAAAGTTTAAAGGTTGGGTATTGAGGAACTAAGCTACAGCAAACCTCTTGGAAGCTGCGGCTCCTCGTAGTTGTTCAGGAAGATGAAAGCCTGCGTGTCAGAATGCCGGCTGATGACGAGCTGGTTGGCGCGAACAGACTCCACTTTCCTAGGCGGTTTAGGTTTAGGGTCCGTTGCCTTAAGGGCTCTACACCAAAAAAACGGTTGACAACAAGTTGTGCTCATACCCTTGGTGGGTATTTCTGCTTTTGCCTGGCCTTCTATCGAAATCTGTAGCCAGCAAAACGAAGAAGGTTCCCAATTCAAGCCGGCTTCATGGTAGCGGTATGAAGCTTCATGGCCTTTCGAATGTTGTTCAGCGCCTGCAGAAAAGTATAGCCTGGCGTTGTAGTAGAGAAGCCGGCATTCCATTGAGGTGGATGAGTCGTGTTGAAGCCGTGCTCTGTCCCGTAGAAGATGATGGGCATCCCTTGCATCATCATGGTCCACGCGACGGCGTTCCGCATCCGAGACACGTCGCCCTTGCAGTACAGCCCTATGCGCTGCATGTCGTGGTTGTCGACGAAGTTCCCCAACAGGTTCAGGTCATGCACAGCACCAGGATTGTCCTGAAAAGAGGAAGAGTAAAAAGCTTGGACAGCCGAGTATGCCTGAGTATGCATGGTTTTCCGGCAACAACAGGCTCGAGGCTGAGGCGCGATGTGTGTTCATGGAGTACAGCGATGTTCCAGCTTTTTGGCGTTTGATTGTTTCAGGGTTTAGGGCTTAGGGCTTAGGGTTTAGGGCTTAGGTTTTAGGGCTGAGGGTTTAGGCTTTAGGGTTTAGGGGCCCGAAGCCGATGCCGTTGGTGATGCTGCTGGTAAGTTCTGCGGCGATTGTGTGGAGTCCAGCGGCAAGACGGTCATGTTTTCGGCCCTTGCCATGTGTTCTGCCAGGTGCAGGTGGAGAGAGGATAACAGCATTTCTCGTCCTGGTTTAGGTGTTTTCGCACATGGTTCGTTTGAACCGATGCAGTTCGGCATTGCCAAGTGAATTGCTTTCCCCGGTATGCCCGATGTTACAACATGTATTTTGGGGGTTCCTTATGATATGATCTTTATAGTACAGTGGACCCTAGAACCCTATTCTAATTATTAAGGCCCCTGTATTATTCGATTTGGGGCTCCCCACCTGGTCCAGAACCTTTGGTCCCTGGCTTGAGAGTTAGGGCTTAGAGATAGACGACAAACGTGTTCTTCTTTCTGCAAGCGAGACGGCGGCTGCTGCTCGTGCAACGACTACTGTTAAACCCTAAATCCTAAGCCCTAAACCCTAAACCCCTAAAGCCCTAAACCCCTAACTCCCTAAACCCTAAACCCCTCAACCCTAAACCCCAACCCCTAAAACCCCTAAACCCCTAACTCCCTAAGCCCTAAGCCCTAACCCCTAAACCCTAAGCCCTAAACCCTACACCCTAGACCCTGAAGAGTGGAACAGGCTGTATTGGTAATCATTTAGGCCCGGCGAGCGTGAACTCAAAGAGCAACCTTCGTGGTTTCCTACTAGAGAGGCATAGATGGTGAACCCGAGTAGCCCTCAGCCCCTAAACCCTAAACCCTAAACCCGTAAATCCTAAACCCCTAAACCCCTAAACCCTAAACCCCTAAACCCCTAAACCCTAAACCCCTAAACCGCGGTTTAGGGTTTGGGGGCCTCAGTCCCTGTGCCTCTCCTCCCTCGACTCTTGGGTCTCGTCGATATTGAACTCCTATAGTCCTAAACCCGCAACCCCCGTAACTTTACGGCCCAAGTTTACAAAACCTCCACCACCTAAACTCCAAACCCCACTTCCTGAAACCTCTAAGTCCTCAAGCCCACTGTCCTCAAACACCCTAATGTGCAATTTGAAGAAGTTTTTTTTTTTTTTTTTTTT